TGGCCCTGACATGACTTGTTCATAATAAGTAGTAACAGGTGGCATGATGTGACAAGAGGCAGGAGTCAGTTATTATTCTGTGAAGGCTCTACCTCTTAACGTGGATTTCAACCGCTGAAATTTTTGGTGCAACGCAAAAGAAAATGAGGAAAAGTTCAATATCACAGAAAGCCTCCCTCGCTTGGATATTTCTGATGGTCGTGGCTATTGCACATACTGTTTAAATAAGCATAAAGGGCTCGTCTGATAATGAAACCAAGGAAGAAACGATGAAAGACAAAAAAGATCCGTTCGCCGCAGCAAAGAGGGCTAAAATTAATGGAGAAGCGCATGAGCCTCCCCCATCCCTGGCACTCCATCCCTCATCACAAGCATGCTGTCAGTAGTAATGTGTTGGGCAGTACGCGGCAAAGATTGTTTCACCTGACGTAAGGCCAAAGGCAAAGAGGTTTTCTTCACTTTACAACTAAGAGTCCACCGACTGCAGAAAGGAACGCGGCAGAAAGAGTGATATGACTATCCCCAGGTGATGCACTCAGTGACGAGGCGGTTATCGATAAGTTCAACCGTCAGTTCTTTGCGGGGTCTTTGGGTAATTTGAAACCTGGCTATGGTTGAGTTTAAAACCTGGGAGGAAGCTAACATGATCTTTTTAATTCACGTACATTTGTCGTATTTGTACCTCAGTTCTTAGAGCATTAGGGTGTGGAACACTAGCTAATTTATGGTAAAAATAGGCGGTCGCGCCCTAGACACCGCACTTTGTCACTCATTTGTGGAGCAGAATTGTCAATTGGCAATGATGGTGTGGCTGAAACTGGGCGGCCATGTTGTAGCATTGAGTGGCGGGTCAACCGATTTCAGCTAAAAGTTGTCCGCAAACCGAATTTCTGTTGTTTTTTTTGGGGGGATGCAATCAGGACCCGTGCAGGTAGCCGTGGTTTCTAAAGACTCTGATCCCAAACCCATTACAACAAAGCCACTTGCTCAACGCCACCTCAAAACTTTTGAACATCTTTAGAAAAATGTGAAAATTAACTATCTCATCTGCCTGTCCTACGCGTATGAATCGTCGTTGCATGGCGACATTGAGTTACAAAAACACAGCACTACTGCCTAGGCGGCCCACTGATGCAGGCCGGCGGCCGCGAGTGAAAGGAAGGGGCGCCGCCGTCCGCGGGCCCGGCGAGCGCTCAATAAAACTGACCGGGTGCCAACAAACGTACGCGCCGCTCGGTACAATAAACCTGCGTTGGCTGGCCGACATCAGTCTCGTGAGTGGACAGCCGGTGTCGGCCGCGTGACACAGTTTTTCCAGCGCCTCACGCGTCGCCGGAGCGCCGCACTGATCAGGTGAGACGGTAAAACATCACGTTATCATAACACGTGGCTAGATCGCCATAATGAAGTACACAGCCTTAATGCTATTGATATAGCTGTTCATTAATGCAAGGTGCATGTAGCACAAATTCACGCTCACAAATTCATATATGTATATGTGTATATATATATATATATATATAATTGTCGTATATATATATATATACATTTCATATATACATATACGTATATATATATATATATATATATATATATATACATATTTCGTAAGAGCCTGCTTCATTTTTCGGCGGATTTTTCGGCGACATCATTTAGCAAAGGGACCTAAAATGTCGTGTAAGTATGATCGCGCAATTGGATGCACAACAAGCAGCGTCTTCTATGGCCTTCATTGTAATGTGTGCGAATGTGTATGTTATATCAGCTCTATGCTTTTGGAGGTTCCGTATGTTCACCGACGTAGGGGTCCTATTTTCGAGAGGAGAATGCGGGAAAAAGGAGAAAAAATTGACAAGAGCATAATGTAGATATGGCAAGCGTGTTGCCGTTAGCGCCAATATCCTTTCCATCCATCATAATCAAAACATATACCAGTTGAAGGATGCTTATTTCATCACCTTTTCAACACAAGCTTCTCACAATATTCGCCAACTGTGTAAAAACTCTAATGTGGTCAGGAAGGCTGCTAAGGCTACTAGGAATTGTCATGCCAGATGGTTGTGAATGGATGGTATGACATTCATGTTATTGTCTGCTGCTTCATCAATCATAGGAGTGAATTGAACACGTTTGGTGTTCTAGCGTTTGGTGTCCTACTATACGCTCTTCTTCGCATCCAGCCTCGCACGAAACGAATGCTATCGAGCAAGACATTTTGTTGCTGTGGGAACTGAACTGTCCCTCCATCAGCCAGCCTATGCCAGATGAGTTTGCGCGACATCTGGACCAGTAATCTAAAAGGGCTTTGGGAAATACGACTTAACGGATGCTCTGACCCATACAGAGGGAGTTAACTCACTTAACTCTGTATTATGTGTTCAGTGAGCTCAGATGTTCAGATGAGTTACCGACCTTCATTTACCAGGAGGTACTGGTTATTTGTTTAGCAAGTACCTCCTCCTATACTGAGGATCGATAACTCGCCATGAGAACCCAACACACATTATACTAAAAAACCGGAAACTGAAGGCCTTTGTTGCTGTCATCAAGTGACCTGCTATCCGCAACGAAGCCTGGGCGAGTGCATCTTTGGGAGAATGAAGTCACTGAACTATTTCATTCTTGCCACAAAAAGTGGCGCCACTCACCTTAAGTGGTGCACTAACTGACTTGTAGCATTTCATCAACCAAGAGCTCGGCGTACAGCAGCTTAATCCACGGTCCAGTTCAGCAAGTTCAGTTCTGTGCGTTTATTGTTTGAAATCGTGTCATGCTGACCAGCGAATGAATAGCCGATCTTGCCAGCCGGGGCCATGTACGTCTGCCCGTAGGCGGACGTACGGGGGCCGGCCACGGGGCCTTGTGATATGCCACAGTGGGAGGGTACGGTGGCTCTAAGCCAGACGTCCGTTCTCAGTCAGGAACGCTCCCAGACAGATCTGGGGCGGTGGGCACGACGCGCACATTGACTGCCAAGCAGCAAATCATCGCCGAAAACGAATGCCATCAAATGCCAGCATCGATGAGCGTTCTACACTCCTGCCCTAGACACCCGTCCTGTTCTGAGTGTGCCACTATGTTCAGTCACGCGTGTGCCGCTCTGTCCAGTGACGTTATGACGTCACGCGTGTGCCCCGGAATGCTGGGCGGCTCGTGTGTAATCCCCCCATCGGAACGAGCTGGCCCCCCAGCCCATTCGTTCCGCGATGGTTTATATGTGTATATATATATATATATATATATATATATATATATATATATATATATGACATGCATCACACTTTTAGCCGTCGGCAGCTATCTGTAAGATGCGAATCGGTTGCAATCTACCATGTGAAAATGACGTTTTTGTCAATTGGACGTTGACAATCATACCCACTCAGCAAATGCAATACGGTGGATCGGAAACGGTCCGTCTGGTAACAGCGCGCGGCATATCTTATTTGAATGTGGGCAATACAATCCGCTGCGGCCATGCTCCTAGTGCACATCATGGCAGAACAGTACAGATAACGCCAGTGCAATCTGATGCCCAAATATGACCCAAACCATCACTCGGCACGCCTGATTCGTCTGGCCGACTTCTGTGGCGATGACATCGGTCCCAGAGCCCATGCCTCCGTTCAACTCCGGGTACATCCGTTCGCTCCGTGCGCGAGGCACGCGCCAAACACAAAAGGTCTTGCGAGCGCGTGAGTGAGCCCCAAGGCAGCTTTAAGTCGCCACCTATCTGTGTGTCGCTCAGCTTCAGAGGACATCGAATTTGAACGTTGTCACTGAAGCCAGACGGTCAATTCTGTTTATCATGATATACATCACATATAAGTAGTTGCACTGGCTGCAAAGACTGGTATGCATCACTTCAAGTGTTAATGAATTGAATAAGAAAATAAATACAACACGAACCTGACGTGTTTGCAGCCAAGGTTAATATGTGTGACACTGATCTGCACAATTTTGGGATGAACACTGACTCAGGTGTCTTGCCCGCATGCCTGCATCACTCAACAATGTACCTACAGGTACTTTACAAAAGCATGTGGGCATGTCAAATTTTGTGAGTGCACAGCAATATGGTAAAGGAAAGGTTGTTCATTTACTCAATACTTCAAACACGGATATGACATGCCTGACTTTTTTAATTTCGTGAGACACGTTTTAAGATAGAACTGTGTCTTTATTAAGATAACTTTTTTAATCGGGTGTGCAACCGGTTGCACTAAACCTAACTTGGTGTGAGTTTATATTTTAATCACACATTTACGTTTTCACGTACAATTCATTACAAATTCATGACTAGATCTTGAGGAGCATCCAAATTTGGCTTATCTTTCACATTGGTAAGAACGAAAAAACCTGGACAACCAACTACGCCGAAGATTTCTTTGAAGATTTTCAGGCCATATCAAGGAGAAATTCATCATCTAGGTACACTTGAGACAAAATTAACAGCTGAACTCCGAAATTCCCAACCTTACTATACTTGCAATCGTATTCACGTGTCTTACACAAGCTGTGACAGCATTTTGAGTGCATTAGGTCAACACTGGTCGTGGCTTTCACTGCCCTGAAATACATTCATGCCACGCAATACGTTCAGTTTTCCTCTACACGGAGAGAGAGGCGGCTCGGGGAACTCGGCACAGCTCAGTTCGAAGCAGTGCGCCCACACTAACTGCGCAACGTCTCAGCTTGACCTGTGACGCCACTATCACATTCAGAACGTACTTGCCAGGCCTATCTCTCACTGCTTCTTTCACTCAGAGACGCAAAGAACTCAGTATCACTAGAAGCATTATCCAAACAAACTTGCCGAATCTCCAAATCTAACCACCGTCGCCGCCACCAACCATCGACTGGCCGCCATGTTGAAAGTAGTTCCCTCCGTTTAAGCTCCGCCCCCTGCGATGTGCTTGCGCGTCGCCCCGGCGCTGGCCCGGCCCACGGCGGGTGAATTCGAACAGGGCCGCGGTGCCGCGAGGCATCGGACGCCGCGACTTTCAGATGGAGCGCTGGCGCGAGGAGAGGGGCCCGTCTGTGGGACACTGTGGCGGTGAACCGCCCTGACCACATGTCAGGCAAGAAAATAACTAGCCAGAACGTGCCACCACCGGACACTGGTCCAACTCAGAATACCGCTGCGAGGGACCTGTGCGCTTTTGTTGGTTGGGTGGCCTCACCTGTGAGACGCAGTAGGAGCAGGTCTACTTGGCCACTGAGCTGGGGTGAGGCGGGGCTGGCGCGGCGCCGCTGGGCATCGCGGCGCTGCTGGGCGGCTGGGCCAACGCTGGGTCGGCGCCGCCCAGCAGCGGCTGCTGCGTCGGCTTCTCGTCGGAGTTTGCTACCCCCCGCAGCCAACTTGGACGCCTGCGACTGCTTCTCTTGCTCGTTCAGTTCCTTGATAGCCTGGATCTCCTTCTTGAGCTTCATGCGTCGGTTCTGGAACCAGATCTTGATCTGTCGCTCCGTTAGACAGAGCTGGTGCGCCATCTCTATCCGGCGCCGGCGAGTCAGGTAGTGATTCGTGTGAAACTCTTTCTCCAGCTCCAGTGTCTGGTACCGGGTGTACGTCTGCCGGCCCCGTCGCCGCAGGCCGTGCGGACCATGACCTGAGGGCACGCGGGGAGAGACGCTCAGACACAGTGTCGTTATCAAGGGCGTGCAAATGTCACGCAAGGCACTGCAAGGGCATGGGCACTGGGCGGAGACGAGTAGCTTGGGTGTTAATAAGTCCACGATTAAATTCAAAATTTCCGATAAGACCAAGCGCACTTTGATTGCAAATTAGCTGTGATGAGATAATGAAATACACAAGCCAACCGCATAAGAAGTGCATATCATTCTCAATTATCAATAAAGCAAGGTTATCGAATCCCAGCATCTGCACCAAAACCAACTCGTCGACTAATCCTGGTGAATACCCTGATGATCACTGTCCACACTTCGAGTACACATTTCTCCGCTAGGTGAAAGGAGCCCACCGACGTTCGCGTTACGTCGTCAGCACCCCGGCATGCTATCCCGAACACTTGGATAGGTCATAAAGGGTAGAATAGGGGTAATTCGAGGCATAAAAGTCAACTGAGGTAGCACAGGCCGTGAAACAGAGCAAGATACGCGGGTGGGCCGGCCGCCAGGGGCGAGTGCAGAAGTTGTCGAACAGGACTGGTGTTGATCAGGACCGGGCATTACTGGCTGCCGCGTGAGGCAGCGGGGCAGGGCGACCAGGGCCAGGAGAGGAAAGCGCGCTTAAAGGCAATTCCTTACTTTGCAGCCAGGCGGGGTAATTGGCGCGCTCCGAGGCTGAAAACAAAAGGAGAAAACTTAGCTGACTGAACACGCACAGATCCATGAAAGAATGCGAATCGTGACCACGTACGTTGCTGCAGGCAACACAAATTACAATAGCTTTGATAACGTCATTTTTCATACGTCACACAACGTATTAAAACGCGTTCAAATGAGCCATTGCCTCGCCTGCACAGTTTCTCCACTCCCATCGAGAGGAAGGTAACAGGCAGCTCCCCCACTCCCATCGAGAGAAAGGTAACAGGCAGCTCCCCCACTCCCATCGAGAGGAAGGTAACAGGCAGTGCCAGGTTGCACAGATTGGTAGCTCGGTGGAAAACAACAAGACCCTCTGGTGAGGTAGCGGGACGGCATGGGATCAGCGGGGCATGTGGAGTACCACTGGTCGGGGGAAGGACGAAGGTACACAAGTCGGGGGATGGGGTACAAGGATACACCGGTCTCGGCACGGCACTTGACGGCATCGGACGGCATCGGATGGCATCGAATGGCAGCAGCATCAGCAGGAAAGTCGGCGCGAAAAACTTACCAAACGGCTTACCGTAGTTCTCAACAACGCTAAACAATTCAAGAACGCTCAGTAACTTTGAAGAACGAGACAGCCCGCACGGACCGGGCTTGAGAACTCTCAGTAATTTTGATGGAAGAGAGCCTGCACCAACAGTGCCTGAGAGCGCTCAGTCATTCCGACCAGAGAGACAGCTCGCACGAACCAGGGCCTAAGAACTCTCAGTAAATATAACGGGAGAGATAGCTTGCACGAACAGGGCCTGTGAGCGCTCAGTCATCCTGACCAGAGAGACAGCCCGCTCGAACAGGGCCTGAGAGCGCTCAGTCATTCTGACCAGAGAGACAGCCCGCTCAAACAGGGCCTGAGAGCGCTCAGTCATCCTGACCAGAGAGACAGCCCACTCGAACAGGGCCTGAGAGCCGCTCGAATAGGGCCTGGGAGCGCTCAGTCATCCTGACCAGACAGACAGCCCCCACCCCCACCCCGCACACAGTGTGCAGTGTACCGAAGCCACACGGAAGACCGTGGAGTCGCTGGCCGGACCTGCTGAGCCCATGAGTCGACATGTCAGAATTATAAACGAACGTTTGATAAAGAAGTGTTCCGATAAAGGAACCTTTTTAACCAATTCAGCCTCCATGAGGGTTAAAGACGGGCGGACTGACAGGCATGACCAGTGGTGTAGCCAATGAAGTGGGGTTTATGTGGTCGTGTCACATCCCCTCCCCCTTGTAGAAGGCGGGGCCCAATGACAGCGAAGGCCCCAGTGCATTTTGGCATACCAACCGTCTCTACCGTTGCTCTGGTAGGTTTTCCGCCCATCTCTCCCAATGTGGTGTGAAATTGCCGCCAATTTTTCACCATTCCCTGGAGCATTCACTGCACGTGTTTCTTTAAACCAAAAACGTATCTGTCATTTCTGACTTCCGAGTAGAGATGTTTTGCTTACGACCCTGCACGGAGATCTGCGGTCGGTGCGGCCGGCGGGTGGCAGCCGAAGGGTCTGCCGATCGCCGGCGGTGCCAAAGACACGGTGGTATTTACGGTCACTCACGTCCCCAATGTTTGCTCAAATCACACAAGCCTACATGCCTGCGTACTCAAAATTGAACTAAACATGCACATAACATGCATAAATCATATGTTAAAGCGATGCATGACTTTTATAAGTTGGTGCGCCAAGCTGAAATATCCCAGGATGTGGGAAAAATTCACCTTTGTTGTGGCTAGTGGGGCCAATTCTTGACGAAGCAACACAACACTTATAACTCATCCCAAGATCTCGCTGAGACCAAACCACTGGCTTTTCCCGCCAGTCTATATTACTTTTGGTTTGGAAATCGCAGGGGTGTCCCCGATTCCCCCTCCCCCTCATCTCCCCCGCCTCCAATCCATTCGTCTTGTGAAAAACGGCGAATAAGGGCGCGATTGCCGTAGAAAGTTTGAAACATCAACATACGGCGCTTCAAGCATCAAAACGGCATTACAAGCTTAGGATGGTCCGCAGATTAAAAACAGGGCCTATATGCGACGAAGTGGCGCCCTTTGTTATGCTTCAGCCCCGTTCTGGGTGACATCTGGGCTATGCCACTTCCTAGACCTAGACGAATAATTATCATGATCCTGCTCCTTTTGTACCAAATAGCATTCTGTAGGTTCCCAAAGGTGTTATTTTGCCAGCTTTTTCATGTGTTAGGCCAATCTGCAAACTGTTAACAGATTTTCACACGATGACACCTTGGATTGGGATGAAAAGCATTTGACTGCAATATGTAGCAGCTTTTAAAAGTACAGGATGGTCCAGATAAAAGTTAGCCGATGTTTCTCTCAACAGTGGCAAGAATATTCTTCACACGGTCGTGACTCTGGTGGTGTTCAAATACTAATGGGATGGTAAAACATGATCAGCGGCAGCAGTAGTCATCAGTCGCTCCACACCAATAAAATTGTGACTACTAAAGGTACTAGATTTATCAATCAAGACAGGAATAGTCTTGCTTGTCTTTTTAGGCATATCACAGTAGTGTACCCAAAACTTTTCTGCAGGTTCTCAACTGCATGTCAGGCACGTCATTCTGCATAAAACAGTCTTTTTCACCTCGGGTCAACTTCGACGAAAGATGGAGGGCGCCTGTTCTCATCGCTCCCAAGGGCTCGAAATACCGTGATGTTTCTTTTCTTTGAACTAACCCATTTTGAGTATTGCAAAAATGCATAATCACGTTACCTGGAGATGGGAAGTCATTCCAAAGCAGGACAAATAAAACTTGAATCAAATACGAAAAAGACATCAGCAATGCAAGTTAAGGTGGCAGAGAACTTGGGAAAAAATCAGGTTTCGGAGTCGGTTGCTCAACCGCATGGACCCAGCCCCGCCCTCCGCCGCCAGTTTCAAAAGTGTCACACCTGCTGATGCTACTTTCTATGTTATCTTTAGCAGTAATGAAGGTCTGGTTTCCACTGGTGATCTCGATGGTCTTCTGCACTTTATTCAGGACCAACAAACCAGTGGCTAGGCCTAAGGTCTGATGGCTGATGCCAGTGCCATATACGTTGGAGACCTCATTGCCAAACATATCCAGGATGTCTTTGTGTATGGCTGCTGAATGCAGAAATGACCTAAGACCTTACTACTTGTCAGTATGAATCACACTGAAAAGCCCTGATCCCCTGAGATGACTGGAGAAATTGACGTGCCAGCTTGACATAGCACGTATGTGTTAGTCCCAGAGAAATGTATACAAATAATCATTAAAATGTTGTGGTGGCCAGTGGGAGCTGCCAGTCCTGCGGGGGCTGCAGTCGTGCATCATGCTTACCGCGCTTTGGACTTCCTTTATGAACTGCAATGTCGCGTCATGATGCAGACGTTTTACATCTCAGTATAGCAAAAGCGTGGTCGTCACAGCAAAATCGCCACACAATTGTGATCTTCGCATTAAAAATCAGCGCAAGATGTGGTTGGTGGGCCATGCCCAGCAGTGGCTCACCACTGTTTTCTGACTTCTGGAGCAGCTAGACCGTCAGGGAAATCGGCCCTGCAGCCTGACTCTGGACCAGTGCTCTGCCATATGAACATGACGTCACCGGTGCCACTCCACTGAACCGCCACTCACAGCCTGCCATACCGCTCACGGCCTGCTATACCGCTCACGGCTTGCCATACCGCTCACACCCTGCCATACCGCTCACAGCCTGCTATATTGCTTACAGCCTGCCATACCGCTCACAGCCTGCCATACCGCTCACAGCCTGCCATACCGCTCACGGCCTGCCATACCGCTCACACCCTGCCATACCGCTTACAGTCTGCCATACCGCTCACACCCTGTCATACCGCTCACAGCCTGCCATACCGCTCAAGGCCTGCTACACCGCTCACGGCCTGCCATACCGCTCACACCCTGCCATACCGCTTACAGTCTGCCATACCGCTCACACCCTGTCATACCGCTCACAGCCTGTCATACCGCTCAAGGCCTGCTACACCGCTCACGGCCTGCTATACCGCTCACAGCCTATCTCGTCTCTGAAGCAAGCGCGCTGCAGCCATGAATTGGGAATGCTGTATGGTAGATGGGGCAGCAGTCACACAAGTCATGTTTGAAATCGCCATTATTTTGGGACTTTCCGATTAAACGACAACCGTTTTGATAGTTTTACCGTGCCAACTTTCCCGGAATTTCCCAAGCTTGACTGCAGCTTCCAACTGGACAGATATCAACCCCCAGCACCCACAAAACATTACTATATCACTTCACACACAACAAAGGAAAGCAGCGCGATATG